GAGGAGGGGCCCAGGTGGGGTGTGGGGGTGGGATGGTGAGCACAGCTGCTGGGGGGGTGGATCCTGGGGTGCTGGGAAGGGCCCAGGTGGGGCGTGGGGGTGGGGTGGTGAGCATAGCTGCTGGGGGGGTGGATCCTGGGGTGCGGGGAGGGGTGAGGTGGGGGTGTGGGGGTGGGGTGGTGAGCACAGCTGCTGGAGGGGTGGATTCTGGGGTGCTGGGAGGGGTGAGGAGGGAAGGGGAGATGCCACACATGTGACCCCTTCTCCCCATGGTGGCACTTGAGGACAGAGTGGCTGTTTGGGGACTGTGTGTGCACGCCAAGGTCACGCCCTTGGAGTGGTGGTGAGGAGAGGGGTGTGTCTGGAGAAGAGTGGCTGGCTCAGGGTGCCCCCACGGGAGGCCCCCTGCGCCGTTGCTGGCCCCAGCTTCCTCTGTCGGGTGTGGCCTCTCCCCCTATGGGCCCCAAACGACCACTTCTGGGCCAGGGCGGGGTAAGATTGCTATATTGTCTTGGGCCCACGCGGGGTCCGCTGTGGTGTGCACAGTGGTTTCTCTCGGTGGTCTGCCCTCGGAAGTGAAATCTATTCAGTGCCCTGCCCAGTTCCAAACTGCTGGCAGGACCACAGAAACCACCATCCCCTCGTTTTGGCGAAGTGGGAGTTGGCCGGAGTCCCACTGTGCCCCTCTAACGCCTCTGAACTCTTGGGGGACCCCTAGTGCTGCTGGTGGGCCGGCGATGTCACTAGTCTCAGAACCCAGGTGCCCAAAGCTCCCTGAGCCCACCGCCCACACACTGGCTCCTCCTCCTGCTGGTTGCGGAGAGTCTGTCCCTTCCTGTGTCCCGCCCCCTTCCAGGACCCTCCCCCTCCAGTGCTCCTCAGCCCCTTCCCCTGCTGCCCCCTTTCCCTCCCCTGTTGGTCCCCTAACCACCACTCCCCTAGTCCCTCTCCCCTGCTGTCACTCCCCAATGGCCGTTCCCTCTGGCCCCTCCCCTTCCCCCCGGCGGGGGTGGGGTGGGGGGTGGGGGGTGGGAGGGGAGCCATGCACCCCCTGGCTCAGGCCCCAGAACGTCCTCTCCAGCCCCTCCCTCCACAGGCCCCGCCCCTGCTGCCCTACTTCATGGCTGGGCCCTTACCAAGTAGGGCCCCTCCTTCAGCTGGGCACTGCCCCTGCTGGACCCCCTGCCGGGCCTCCAGCCCCTGCTGCCCTGCCCCTGCCCCCTAGCCAGGCCCAGGCTGGCCCCTCTTCCCCTTCTCCTCCCCCATCTTGGCTGCGCCCTGTCACCCTGTGTGCTTACCTGTCAGTGCAGCCACATGCCTTGGCTGACCCCATGCTGCAGGGTGGGGGCGCAAGGGGGACGAAGACAGGTGGGTCCTCCTGGCTCAGGGCTGCCGCCGTGTGAAGGCTCGGGGAGTGGCTTTCTCTGTCTTGCTGAGGAGTGACCCCGTGACAGTCTCCTTGTTCTCGGCTGGACCCCTTCTCCGCAGGCCTCCTGGTGGCGGGGCAGGGCTCTTAGCGCTTCGGGCTTCTCATCCCTCTGCATGCTCACAGCCCTGGCCACTCCGTGGGCCCCAGGTGGTGTGCGGTGCCGCCTCCAGGTCTGTGTCCGGTGGGCGTCCCCAGGGAACACCTGATTCCCAGAGCCTGCACTGCCTCACAGCCTGGTCTGTCCCTTGCAGATTCATGTTATCCTCCCTGCTGGGCTCTGACTCGAACAAGTACCTGGAATGGCCCATGCCGGGCCAGCAGGGCTAAGGCTGACGGGAAATAGGGGCCTAGACACCTACGGCACACACCCCAGCTTCAGGCCACGGCTCCGGCCTGCTCCCCTCGAGGTGGTCCTGGGCACCCTTTTTGCCGCCCAAGCATGTGCCGGGTCCCCGGG